CCATTTTTCCCCTTTTTTTCTGAGCCTGTAAATATCCACATTTAGGTGTGTTAAAAGACTGGTTGCTGATTCCATGTGTCCAGTTGAAATTATGAAGAGTTTACAAGCTCAGATCTCCAAAGCACCTGTCACACAGTATGCTCAAGCCCAGTTAAACACTTGTCAGTGTTACCTTTGCACATGTCCACCCCAAGAGCAGCTGAGCACACCAGCTCAGGAGCAGAGCAGCACAAGCTGAACATTCTGTAGCTGTGGATGTGGCTTGCGCCGGAGCACAGAGACACTTCTCCTGGGCTGCCCTGGGTCTCCAGTCTGAAGGAAGGAGCAACACACAGCAAACTAGAAGAGAATAAAAGCATAGCAAAGCAGATGGGCAGGAAGGATTACCATGAGGAGTGTGCTGAGAGTGGTACAGGATGAGGGAAGAATATCAATGGATGGGGAGCCTGAGCCTGAGAGCAGGTTGCCAGTACTGAGTGCTCAGATTTTCTGAGCCAGGAATGACCCATGAGTGCACATAATGCAGTACCAGAGAGCAGTGCTTCCCAGCTATGTGCAGTGTCCCATGGCAGATGCTGAAATCACTGCCACCACTGCAGTGCTCATCACAGCCAAGCTCAAGAACTGGCCAGAAGCAGAATCACTGTGGTGCTGGAGGGCACAGTGACCTCTCCGAGAGCCCCTGGGGCTGTTGCTCGCCTGTGGTGGGTGGGATCTGCTGTGCACCACAGCTTTTGGTCCAGAAAAAGTGTGCTGCAGGTATGAAAAACTGGGAAGGGCTGTCAAATAGAAATCCCAGCTTGCTCTAGAACCAGGGCAAACAAGTCAGCACTCTGCTTGGGATAATTAATTCTCATGAAAAACAGGAGATGCCTTTTAATGCCTGCAGAACTTGAGCTTCTTTATCTGCTTGATACTGCATCCATTCATTCATTCATAACTTGGCTCCAGCTATGGTGCTGCATATCTCTGCTGAACTGCATAGCCTCTTGGATTTGCTGCACACACTTAAGTTCATAAACCTTCCAGTGGTGAGGAAACTCTGGCTAGACAGTTTTGAAATATGAGGCTGACTCTAGATGAAATTCTTGTCCAGACTTACATCAAGTGTAATTTTTTTCCCCAGCTCTATTTCAGAGGTCAAGTGGGATGTTACAATCCCTAAGCTCTCTAAAGACTGCTCAATTTCATCCTGTTGAGGCAAATAATGCCTCAAAATGCCACATCTTGCTTTTCAAACTTCAGCTTATCAAGGCTGACTTTTGGGCTAAGCAGGTGTATTCCTGCTCTTCCCAGGGGGAGCTTCTGGGCTTTCCCCACCCAGTTCTTTTTACTCTGCCTACCTTCCTCCTTCCTTGTCTCTGTCCCGTACACCTTGCTAAGCTGTGTGGAGAACTTTCCCACTGAAAAAGTAGTTAGAAATCCTAAAGCCTATAATAGTGGCAAACAAGGATGAGGTTCATTTATTTATACATTCATTCACACATACATGGATAGTAGGATCCCTTCAATCAGAAATCCCTGTGTAGCTTTGAAGGCTTTCATCCTCATTTTCCAAACAGAGAAACTGAGGCACAGACATTAAATTACTTGCTCAAGAGCTTAGGGAGTTTGCAGCAGTCAGAAATAAAACCAACCTAGTTTGACTAAAGACCCTACTTTAATTTTTAAACATCACTGTTGTTCAGCAAAACAAAGGGGAAAAATAATAACAGAGGTTATCATTTACAGATGACAGAGCTAAACATGATTATTTCCTCACCTTGCTATCCTTAGTGACTGGCTACCTTGTCATGAGTTAGAGTGAGGAATAAACAGTTATTCTGAAGCTTTGCACAGTTTTGGTTTTTTAAACCCAGGAAAGCTGTTGAACCTTATCCAACACATTTTCTTTTGCTAAAAATGGGGAAAGCAATTTCAAATAAACATGAAATACCTCCAAATCCCCCCTTTCCTTATATCAGTACATGACATTTCAGAAGGATGTGCCACAATGTACTTAGCATGTTACAGACTCTAGGGAAGTCAGAAGAGGACAAATACCTTTACCCTCCTGTGCTTGATTTACTTCTTGAATTTTCACCCACTGAAAGCAAACTAGAGTGATTGGCAGTCCTTTTTGCAGTTTGTTTAATTCCTTTGGTAACTTCAACAGCATTGAAACAGGTAAGATACTGTGACTTGCTACAAACTAGTTCACGTAGGGTGATTCTCAGTTTCCTGCAGCTTCATGATGCTGCTTTCTCCTAGATGTTGTGTTTTCTGACTCACCCAACACAACTTTGTTTGCTCTCTTTTTCCAGCTTCTGGCCATCCTCACTGCTTCTTCTGTCACCTGGAGCTTGGCTCTGACCGAGAAGTGCCTTCTAGTTTTGTGCGCTATGTGGATGTGGAGTTTGACATGCCAACCACCTCCGCATCGAAAGCCACCGTGCGGTCCATCTCTGTCGAGGACAAGGCCGACGTGAGGAAGTGGGTCAACTATTCAGCACACTACAGCTACAAGGTACAACTGAGCGTGTGGCAGCCACCGTGGTCACTTTGCATCCTTCATTGTCTTGAAAAGTGTGGGCAGACAAATGAAATATTATGGGCCAATGAGGTGCGGATTTGGCACGTGCCAGGCTGTGTGCAGCCTATTGATTCATGGCAAACAAGCAGTGGATTATCCCTCAGCAAAGATGGAGTAAATTTGTTTGAACCTGCTTTATAGAAGAGCATACACAAAGCCAGATATTGAGGATTAGAGAATATGGTAAGAGTGTGAGCAGGGAGTTTTGCTGCTTTCATAATGCCTACAGTGGGAGTCCTCCAGCAGACAAAAGGATCACAGTACTTCTCTGCTTAAATATTTCTTCCTCCTGCCTGCCCTGAGAAGAGGAGCAGGTGGGAAAATGCACTATGTATATACCAGCCAAGAATCTCAGTAAATTGGCATGTTAGTTGAATACACAGCAGAGAAACTGGCATCCTACCTGCTTTCTTTAAGAGAAATGATGGGAGATTAATAAAGATTCTCATGGCAAATATTTTTACTGTAATTGTAATTACATTTTTATTAGTACCTTAAATTCCCTGCAGATAGTATTTGATCTTCTTAAATACCTCTTTTAAGAATTAAACATTGGATTATTGCTGAGTTTTCAAAGATGTGTAAAATTAGAACCCAAATGTAGAGCTCCTTGGCCCTGTCCCAGTACAAACTGGCATCTGTAGGCCTAAGCACCTCTGTGCCTGAGGACAGCAGGGAGTGTGCTGATGTTTGGGTTGGTGTTAGGCACCGCTTCAAGGAGCAGGGAGTTGGACTTGATGATCCTTACGGGTCCTTTCCAACTCAGGATCTTCTGTGATTCTGTGTGCATTCTGAAAAATAATCTTTTTGCTTTATACATCTGTCTTTGCAGAGTTTAAAACTGAGGTTGGTTTTCTGCTGTCACTTGGGAAACCACCTATCCTCTGCAGATTTGGTTCTGGGTTTGGATTCGGAGTACATCTGGGGATGGTCATGAATATAAAATCATTTGAGACCAGTTCTCTTTTGGAAATAATTTCATGACACTGTTGAATTGTAGAACAGCTTGGATTAGACTGAAAATACTTACAGTAAATAAAATCCAGCTTTCCCTGATCCTCAGTCTATTTTCCCTCACAACCTTCTCAGCTTTCTTCACCTGAGCAGGACACAAACCACCACTAAGAAAGGTTTTTTGAATCTTTTATTTTCCTTTCTCCTTACAAATCTTTTCTCTCTTTTTCTTCTGCCAGGTTGAAATAGAGCAGAAAAAAAGCTTGAATGAGGATCCGAAGGGAGAAAATACTGCAAATGTCAACGAATGTGCTACACAGTGAAGGAAGATCAGTCTGCAAGTCCCAAAAGAGGTGGTCAGATTAACAGACCTGGAAGAATGGACTTGTAGCATTTGGCTATTTTTCTTTTTAAAAAGTATGGAGTACTACTTGCAAAGTAATGCTCTGAAGAGTACTGTTTTTTCTGTGTGATGATCTGTACTTTGAGAGGGAGCTCATCAGTGGTTTGTTTGGAGCAGACCCTTGGGCTTTTGCTGGAATGATATAAGTACAGTTGTACAGTCAAGCCTGCCTTTTCTGCCTCTTCACTGGGGAGGTTCTGCACTCAAGTATGGTCTGGCCACCATCACAGCCACACCAGAAAGCAGCCTTTATCTCACTCACAATCCTGCCCTTGTACATTAACCATTTTGTTTATATGCCTGTTGGTTTTGGTTATTGACTAAATCCCTTGGTCATTCACTGAATCACTTCTTTCCGAACTGCCAAATGAAATTCAGGGAGCATCAAGTGAAAAATTCTATAAAACCTCCTTTCTGAAGTGGTCAACAGAGTGAAAACCCTGAGCATCATTCTGGAGAACCAACACACTGCAGAGAGGGGTCAAGCAGATGAACTACAGACAGGACAGACCATCACAGAGCTGTTCACACTTTCCTGTCTCATCCCATGAAACACAATATGTCATTGTGCACATTTTCATGGGGTCTGCACAAGTTATGAGGAAGCCTCTGCAATTTCTTAAAATATTTGGTTTTCAGTCTGAGCTGTTCTGGTATTTTGACTGAGCATGGTTATGGCTGCTAGCAACAGGGAACATGTGTTATAGTAGAGGAGGTACTGGAGGGACTTTGCAAAGATTAGATCATTCCTGCCTAGAAATATATTCAAGGGAAAAACATTGGGGTTTAGTTTTAGGTTTGGGGTTTTTTAATATGTTTTCTTGGATAGGTAAAGTGGGTGGTTATTGAAAATATCAGAACACAATTACTTTAACAGACAATGTTGTTGGCTTTTCCTGAAAATCCTTGGAAGTCTGTCCAGCGCAATACGATTTTCATGTTCTATATTGAACCTACAATATATGTAACTTGTATCTTTATAAAACTCCCACTAACTGGGCCCCAAAATCTCCTTCCAAAAATTAACAACAGGCTTCTATCAAGGATATTTTTTTATCCCCACTTAGCTGAAAGTAACAGCAAGTATTAAATCTTCTTCCTAAATAAGAATGCTGAAGACATAAATCACTCATTCAGATGTATTTTCAGAGAAAACAGTGTTAAAAGTATCCATTTTTAGTTGTTTCTATGGCTTGTGTAATATTTTGTCTCGTAATTTTAAATGTAAAAAAAGTAATTTATTAAATCATTTATCTTTTGAAAAGTTACTACTGACTTTAAAATCACACATTTGGAAAGCCTCGCAATGTAATTTAAAATCATACTGGATTAAAATGAAAGCTTTTTTACAAATGTATTTCATTTGACATTTCATACAACAGAAAATTAATGCACTCTCAATTTACTACTTTCACTGTGACTCCTGTGACGATTGCTACAATGTTAACATCCCAAATAAAACATGAGATTAATTACATCGAGTCTAAAACTGGTAGTGATAGCATTTAAAACAAATTGTAGGAAACTTAAAAATGCCTTTTTATATGCACCTAAATTTCAGGCCTACATCAACCTAGAGATGCATACTTACACAGGTACATTGCTATAAATATGTGAAGTCTTGGTCCATCTAGGACTTCTTGATAAGCTGTAGGAGTCTGTTGCAGGTAGCCTTGCTGCAGCCCAGGGAGCTCCTCAGAGCACACCAGTTAGCACTAAGCATTTGCAACATCTCTCTGTAAATGGAAGAATGAACTTGAACTTGGCTGAAGAATTTTGAGATCGGTGGATTAAAATTACTGATAAAGTGCAAAGAATTATTTTTTATTCAGTGCTAAGTTGTATGTGTTGTAAAATACCTGAGAGCGTGGGGCTGAATTTGTGACTGATTCTCAGCTCTGTTCCAGGCTGGCTGTGATGAGTTGCATGGCAACTCCTCGCAAAATTCTCTCTTCTTTTCAAAGGCAGTCAAAGAACTTCTGGGTGTTTTTCCTGTTTTTTTACTGCAGTGTACTCCTAGTGTACAGTTTCTGAAAAGGACCAGCAAGAAATCCAAGAACAACAAGCTGAAGAAAGGCTGAGATGTTGCTGAGGTAGTGTGAGGATATTTTGTGCAAGAAACTGTCAGGGATTTCCTACTCTGACCTGCAGGCTCAATGCCTGAATTTTTGCCTACTGCCTCCCAACCCATGGAAACACAAATAAGTAATACAAATAAAGTGATGTTGTACTCCTTAAAGAGGGGAGAAAATAAAAGGAGTATCATTTTCTATCTCTGTTGAATTCTGAAACTATTCAGTCTCTGTCATACTTCAGCCACAGAATATTTCATGCCCCAGAAATTGAACGATAAACATATTGGATGTTTCTGTATTTACTTAATTTCTCTACCACTTCATCATTGACTTTTTTTTTAAATTCAGAATTAATGAATGAAAGAGTATGGGCCTGACTCTGATCTTCCCTATGTAGTTAGTTGTACACAGAAGTATTTATTCCAGTCCTCATGGAGTTAAGCAGACAAAACTGGAAACGTGTTCTTGTTTATATGAAATCGATTTTAATCTATTCTGATCTCTGAAGAACATTTTTCTGATGTACCTGTCACTGAATTTTCAAGAGTTTAGGATAAATACCTCAGCCAGAGTTTCAAAAGATATTATTTCCTATCAAAGGACTAGAGGAAGTAGTATGATTTTTCCAGGGTGCTAACAGTCAAAATCTTGAGCAAATCTAGCACTGGTGTCAGAACTGAATTCTTTTTTCAATCCAACACCATTACAAGCACTGAGCATTTGAACACCAGGATCCTAAGTGCCCTTTATGAGGCTTCTACTGTTCTTTATTGATTAAACAGTGCCAATTTTTCAGTGTTAGATATTGCCTCGTATCAACTTTATGTACATGAACCATATACTCTTCATCCATATGGGTAGAGTAGTAATTTGGACAGACTGTTGATGGGAGTGAGGGCAAAAGATCTGAGAGGTTTGTGAGTTTGAGAGGAGCAGAAATGATTTAGATACAAGGTATGCCTGTAGTGGGGATGATTTTTAATTTTTTTTTATCTTGCGGAAAAATCTCTTTGACTAGTTTCAGATTAATACTTCCTTTGCAAAAGAATCACTGTCCTTTGGTTTATTTGAAAGCTTTGTAGTACTCAAACACTTCATGCAGGAAATGTGCCTTCAAGGTAAGCATAGATTTACTCCCTGAAACTATTGCCACTTTCAGCCCTCTTTCTATTTCTCATTATGGTTTTGTTTAATTTTCATACTGTGGTAAGACTTGAGATATTGTATGGAATTTTGCCTAGGAAAATAAAGCATCTCTGATCACAAGGGGTAAAGGTGAACATCTCCAGGCAGCTGAGCTGATTTTAGTGAATGTGACTTACATTTATTAACTATGAACACTGCTAGAAAAGGAAAATGGGTAAATTCAGCTGAGAAATACTGTAACTGACTGATGTTATTTTTGTTTTTTGTTTTATTTAGACTAAAATTTAGTCATCCTATAAAGAAGCCAGATATAGCAGTATCAGCAGAAACACTGCAGAAATAATTTACCTTGCTGGTGGGTTGCTGGCTGACGTGTTTACTCGATAGCACATCCAAGACCTGCTGGTCTACCTGTCCACATTATTTAGCAGCTGCTAAAACTCCCTCTTCATTCACCTCCCAGGATAGAGAGCAATTGCATGCAAAAGAGCAGGAAAGCAAGAGAAAAAAGTGTACAAAGTTCAGCCTGGAGGTACTTGCCCTGTTGCTTGCATAAATTTGTCAGTAATTTCCTTGGCCCTTGTGTGCACTAATCAAGCCCTTGATAGGTCACCTCTGTTCCAGACAGTGAAAAATTCCTTTCAGTGACTCTTAGCAGTTTGTGTTTATAGCTGTATTCATCTCCAGAACTGGTCAGCACAAGAATTTGCAGCACACAGAGATCACTTATGGATGAAGTACTTAACTCTCTTCTGCCACTAAAGTTAAATCTACATCACAATATGTCTGAGATACAAAATTTTGTCTGATAACAGGCACAACTGTTCCTAACCTTCCTATTTTGTTCAGCCAGTCAGCCTCCATCCCTCCCTCCCTCCCTCTCTCTCTCATACTTGCAATTCATTCTTTGCACTATTGACATTGGTTTGATGATTATTTTGTAACATGTTCCTATCTTTTTGTTTTGTAAAATAAGTAAGTCTATACACTGGCTAACCTGTAGAAGTGTTTTGTTTTTTTCTTTTTATCAGTTGAAATGGGATGTCATGTTTTGTTTAAACTGTGGGAAAACTTAAATAAATGTTAAGATGAAACAGGATATCCACATTTTTGCTGTGAAATTGAAATTGTATGTGCTGTATATTCTGATAAGTCAGAGGTCTTGAATTCAGAAGAGGAAAAGGAGGTGTAGAAGTAATGGGACTATATACAGAAAAGAGATTATTTCATTTGATCATCCAGATTGAATGATAGACTGCAAAAGAAATGGAACAGGCCTAGAGCTTAAGCCACATAACAGATGTGTGGAGCAGTACTGACATAATATGGAAGATGATCCAACATTTGAACAAAACCATCCTGAAACAAAGTAATTGAGGACTACAGTTCCTGCTCAGTGGTCTCTTCTGTTCTTTGACCACTAAAGCCAGGAGTGCATGCAAGGGTGGTGTCTTCCTGTGATCAGAACATCTGTTTGCAAAGCAAGTGTAAGGATAAGGTCTAAAGTACTTACAGAGTCCTCTGCTATGATGCTCTGTGTGCTTTCAAACTTGAGTAAGCCATGTATCATTTCATACATCTTTCCACTTCTCTCAGTCAGTGAGACCTGGTTGGGTCTGCTGTTTCTCTCAAAAGCATTCCCTGTATCAGCTGAAGAGCTGGGCATTCTCATTGACCAGAGAAAATGAGATGCCCATCA